TAGTGGACCACATACCCCATGCTGTAAGTGGTAGTGGACCACATACCCACAGTGGGACCCACATACCCATGTAAGTGGTAGTGGACCACATACCCATGCTGTAAGTGGTAGTGGACCACATACCCATGCTGTAAGTGGTAGTGGACCACATACCCATGCTGTAAGTGGTAGTGGACCACATACCCATCCTGTAAGTGGTAGTGGACCACATACCCATGCTGTAAGTGGTAGTGGACCACATACCCATGCTGTAAGTGGTAGTGGACCACATACCCATGCTGTAAGTGGTAGTGGACTACATACCATGCTGTAAGTGGTAGTGGACCACATACCCATGCTGTAAGTGGTAGTGGACCACAATACCACATACCCCATACCCTGTAAGTGGTAGTGGACCACATACCCATGCTGTAAGTGGTAGTGGACCACATACCCCATGCTGTAAGTGGTAGTGGACCACATACCCATCCTGTGGGTGGTAGTGGACCACATACCCCATCCTGTAAGTGGTAGTGGACCACATACCCATGCTGTAAGTGGTAGTGGACCACATACCCATCCTGTATGTGGTAGTGGACCACATACCCATCCTGTAAGTGGTAGTGGACCACATACCCATGCTGTAAGTGGTAGTGGACCACATACCCATGCTGTAAGTGGTAGTGGACCACATACCCATCCTGTAAGTGGTAGTGGACCACATACCCATGCTGTAAGTGGTAGTGGACCACATACCCATCCTGTAAGTGGTAGTGGACCACATACCCATGCTGTAAGTGGTAGTGGACCACATACCCATGCTGTAAGTGGTAGTGGACCACATACCCATGCTGTAAGTGGTAGTGGACTACATACCCATGCTGTAAGTGGTAGTGGACCACATACCCATGCTGTAAGTGGTAGTGGACCACATACCCATGCTGTAAGTGGTAGTGGACATCAAGCACAAACAGACCAAGAGAGGGAGAGTGAAGTGAAGATGCAGAACAAAGAACAGCTTGAACAAGAGAGAACAGAAGATGTACCATCATGAACAGCTGGAATAAGAGAGAACGGGAGTACAACTGGAGCAAGAAGAACAACTACTCGCAAGGACAGAAGCGCATACATACACAATGCGAAGAACACGAGAACACAGGCAACTGGATAAATTATTGCAGCATGAGCGGAATAAGTAAAAAGCAACAACGATTAATGAAGCAACAGCTGTTGCGAGATGAGAGCCAGCATTTGCTCAGCAGGTTGACAGGAGCAACGGGAGTAGCAGAAGTGGAGGCAGCAGCGTCAGCAGCGATGGAAGCAACAGCAGCAGAAGTGGTAAGCAGTAGAAGCTGCAGCAGCAGCAGCAGTGGTGAGCAGCAGTGGTGGGCAGCAGCAGCAGCTGCTTGCCAGAGTGCGGAAGCCAGCCTGACAGGGACTACTAAACACTACATCTGGCCCCCAACGGGCTGGTTGATGAATAATAACAGCGCAGATTAGGGCTTAAATCCTTCACAGACAGAGTATAGCTAAAGGATAAGACCGATCAGCAGCAGTAACACAAGAAACCGAAGCAACCAAGGCAGCAACTGGAGAATGACGGAGAGAGAAAGAGAGCAGCACCAGCAGCAGCAGCAGCAAGAGGAGCCAGGGAGTAGCAGCAGCAGCACCGGTGTCATTGGTAAGCTGCACGGACACGTCCGGTGACACGGACACCAACACTTGCACCACCACTAGCAGTAGCGACTAGGAGGAAGAGCAGTAGCGAGAGAGAGAGGGAGACTAGGAGGAGAGAATAACGTGAGAGAGAGGGAGAGAGAGGAGAGAGAGAGAGAGAGGAGGAGGAGTGAGAGGAGGAGAGAGAGAGAGAGAGAGGAGAGAGGAGAGGACGAGAGGAGGAGAGGGAAGAGATGGAGAGAGAAGGGCGCGATGGAGACGAGAGATGAGAGAGGGAGAGAGGAAGAGAGGAGCAGAGAGAGGAGGGGAGGAGAGATGGAGGAGATAGGAGAGAGGGAGGAAGAGAGGAGAGGAGAGAGGGGAGAGTCGGAGATTGAGAGAGAGAGAGAGCAGAGAGAGAGAGATGAGAGAGGAGAGAGAGAGAGAGAGAGAGAGGAGAGAGAGAGAGAGAGAGTGGAGAGAGAGAGAGAGAGAGAGGAAGAGAGAGAGAGAGGAGAGAGGAGAGGACCGAGGGAGAGAGAGGAGAGGGAGCGAGAGGAGAGGAGAGGAGGCAGAGAGAGAGAGACAGAGACAGAGAGGAGGAGAGAGGGGAGGAGAGAGAGGATAGAGAGAGAGAGAGAGAGAGAGAGAGAGAGGAGGAGAGAGAGAGAGAGAGAGAGAGAGAGAGAGAGAGAGAGAGAGAGAGAGAGAGAGAGAGAGAGAGAGAGAGAGAGAGAGAGAGAGAGAGAGAGAGAGAGAGAGAGAGAGAGAGAGAGAGAGAGAGAGAGAGAGCAGAGAGAGAGGAGAGAGAGAGAGAGAGAGAGAGAGGAGAGAGAGAGAGAGAGAGAGAGAGAGAGAGAGAGAGAGAGAGAGAGAGAGAGAGAGAGGTGGAGAGGAGAAGTGAGCAGCAGCAGCAGCAGCAGCAGCAGCAGACGTCGGCAGGAGGCAGGAGAGGGCCAGGTACGAGAGTGGAGCTGACGGCCAGCCCTCCCATCTCTTGTTCGCCCGTCACTCCGCACTTATTATCCTTTATTCCGGCCTCCTCCCCGGCGACGTGTACCCCCCCCCCCCCCCTAGCCCCATCCCCCCCTCCACCTTACTCACTACACCGTTTCATCTCTTATTCATGTATTTCATAAATCAGGCGCGCTAGCCACAGGGTCGTAACCCTCCCAAGGCGAGGGCCACCCAAAATGAGCCCTGG